CTACTAAAAATATAGCACATTAAACTAAAAATCCATTTCCTAGTAGAACAATGGTCATGATGGAGGAATTAGTCAGTGACTGTGAGGTTAAATGAATATAACTATTCAACCTGAACACAAAGAGTAAAAGGAATTCGGAAAAATCCATAGACTTTCAAGGATCTTTGAGACAATAATATTCTGTAAAAGTTAAAACAAAGTACAAGCACATCGAAAAGCAAATAATTAAGTTATTTTATGTAGAATACCTGAAATAGAGGAAATAGGAATTTGGCAGGGAAATATTTCCTAAAGCCTGTTCAGATTTGGTAAGAGACATGAGACTATATTTCAGTAACCATGGATACCAACAGACAAGGAAATATTAGCTTCAAAATACTGAATGAAAATATCAATCACAAATTGAGTCATGATAAAATATCATTGAAGACTTCAAACAAATTAAGGTCATTCATTGAAAGCTAATTGAGTTAGAATAAATGATAAATGACATTCCAGATATTGAATGAAAATACCAGAGATACCTGAATCTTTAGTAAGAAATTATAAACACTTGGAATCTTAAATAGATAGGTAAGGTAATGTTAATTTTCCTAAAAACAAAGGACTAAAATTATTGTCTTGTGGGATTTCCTATATATATAGGAATAATAATAATGACGATTATAACATAAGCTGTAGAATTCAGAGTACTTTATGGATGTTAGAAGAAACTTGGAAACTTACTTTTTGTTTTAGAGCCACTCAAGCAAATGGAAGACATGATGAAGTACAGAGTTGAACAGAACATGTCAAAGGATAGCTCAACAAGACACAGGATTATAATGAAATGTGCAAGGACCTGGAATCAGCAAACCAAGAGAAAAGGAACACACCTCATAGATCAAACTGAAAGAACAGGGAAAATATTCAAGCCTCGAGTTGCAGTATTTAATGATTCTATGAGCAAAATATTGTATGATGAGGAAGCATTAAATAGAGGAAGGAACATGCAGAGTCACTGTACCTAAAAGAATTGATTTTCATTCAATCGTTTCAAGAAGTAACTCATGATCAAGAACAATGTTGTCGAGGACTACATCCAAACTTCACTGACTGGGTGAGCTGATTACATTAGTGAAAACAAGGTTTCAGGAATTGACAGACTATCAATCAAAATGTTTGAACAATTAAGGTGTGCATGTGGAGTTGTATCCATTCACCATACTTGTTCAGTCTGTACGATGAGCAGGTGGTCCTAGAAGCTGGCATATATGAAGAAAAACAGGGCCTCGGTATTGGGAGAAAGGTTGTGAACAACCTGTGATACACAGATAAAACGTCCGTGCTGCTGGAGCACAGGAACACTCGAAGCATTAGCTGATGAAGCTCCAGGGCTAGAGTCTTCAGGGTACGCTGCCATTCAATGTAAACAAAACCCAAGTCCTTACACCTGGACTTATAAATAATATGAGAAGTGGAGAAAAGCTTGACATTAAGGATTTCATCTTACTTAGATCCACAATGTTGATGGAAGCAACAGTCATGAAATTAAACATGATATGACATTGGGCAAATGTGCTGCCCAACTCTTTAAAGTGTTGAAGAGTAAGGGGGACACTCTGAGGACTTAGGGGCACCTGACCCTTGCCATAGTATTTTTAATCATCTTATATGCATATAAGGATATAAGGGTTGGACATTCAATAAGGAAGAACAGATGCTTTTGATTTATGATCTGGTAAAGAATAGTTAAGTTCCTATGAAATGCCTGAACAAACAAATCTGCCTTGTAAGAAGTACAGCCAGATGTTCCTTAGAAGCAAGAATGTTGCAACTTCTTCTGACATATTTTTGACATGTTTTCAAGAAAGACCAGTCCCTGCTGAAGGGCATGATGCTTGGTACTGTGGCGGAACAGCAAAAAAGATGAAGACCATGAGTTGGATTGATACATGGATGCAACAATGGATTCCAACAAACAATTGTGAACCTGAACCAGGACTGGGCAGTGTTTCATTCTCTTGTACATGGGGAATGTTATGTGTCAGAAACAACTTTAGGGCAACGAAGAATAACATCAAATCAAGTCCAATTAACTGCAATCGAGTTCTGACTCATAGAAGAAACTTTCTTGATTAGCCTTTTGGAATCTCTCCAAACAGTTGCCATAATATTCTGAGCTTGTCTCTCTGCCCCAAATGTAGCCAGCCAAGAAGATCCCCTTAGGAGCCACTATTTTGATTGGGCTTTGTTCTCTGAGTTATATTGGTAAACCCAAGGCCCACCCCTGGTTATAATTCATTCCATAAAATCACCTTTATTAGTTTCAATTTGTTTATATGATCAATGAAAAGATTGCTCATTTGAGCTAATTTAAAAAAATAATTTTTGCATCCACAAACCTTGCTGAAACCAAGAAATTTCCTTAAAACTGAAAATGCCAAATTATGATATCCCAGGTTTGGTTGCTACTACATCACTGATAATTATATTCCCGTCTTTCAACCACTCATTTCAGAGTTTCTTCATTCATTAAGGTAGTTGCCTTCTTTCTCTTGGCTGATCTCTGAGGTTTTTATAACATTACTTAAAATGATTCATGCATCTCAAAACCGTTGTTTTTAGTGCGGCAGCATGTCCTTACACATGCTTTAAAGCTTCACTGATTTGAAGAGATGTACATTGTGAGTTTTGCTAAAAATGTAATATTAGCTCTGACATAATAATCACTTTTAATCCCCCATAGTAATTCAGTGGAACCCTGGTGGTGGACTGTTACATGGTGAGCTGCCAATAACGAGTCATCAGTTAGAACCTGCCAGCTGCTCTGCAGTCTATAAATGAAGCCTCATGCTCCCATAAAGGCGTAAAATCTCAGATACCCAACGGGGTGGTTGTGCTCTGTCTTGTAACTTTCTGCTCTCATAAAGAGTAACAGTCTTGGAAACCCACAAGGGCACTTCTACTCTGCCCTACAGAGTCAGAATCAACCATGAGTCAGAAGCAATAGGGTGAACACAACTAAAATAAGTGTTTACAGTGAGACCTTATCTGCAGCTATCCAGGGACTTCAGAGACATACTTAAACATATTTCGTTTGGAATGAACTTGAGCATGTATGAACTAGAACCCTCGTGGCAATACTATTTGATTTTCCCTTACACTTTCTTTTTATTTTACGTTAGTTCTCTATTTATACGGTCTTACATCTCAAATCAATAATGAAAATAATCTGAAGTTTGTAATCATGTATTTGAATTATTTTGTATGACATAAAGTAAAATAGGTGGATTTTAGGGGACAAAATTACTTGGGGCTAACCATTGAATGCATTACGTTCAGTCAAGTGGCTTCGAACTCACGGAGGCACCTAATGTGTAGAGTCGAGCGGCACCTAGTATTGTCACGGCTGTGACTTCTGGAAGCAGACTGCCGGGCTGTGGGTCTGACTGAACCACCGACATCTACGTGAGTCGTTGATCACTGAACCATGTGTGCTGCCCACGAGCACTTTGGTAAAATAATGCTTAAAGCCAAACTCACCACCCTTGAGTCAATCCGGGCTCATCTTAATCCTGTGGGTAGAGGAGAACTTCCTCTGGGGTTTCTGCGGTGGCAGTCTTCATGGAGCAGGAAGTCCCAGTGTTATCCCATGGATCAGCTCTGCGTTCAATCTTCTCACCCTAAATTTAGCCGCACTATGCCACCAGGACTTCTTACTTACTAATAAATTGTGCAGATACAGGCTCTCATCACAGAGGTCACAATAAAACGTGAAATGCACACTAGCCACTGCTAAGGGAAAGGTAATAAGAGAAGTGCAAACTTCAAAGAAAACGGATGTTCTGTTAATCTAGTCCTTTCCCTTCGGGAAGAAAGTTACTTAAATATCTCATAAAGCTGATTCAGATTGGTGCCCTCCCAATTGTATCTGTACTCTGTGCTTATCTTTTGTTTATATCTTTTAATATTTAAACGGCAAAATGCTGTATGGAAGAGAAATCCTTGGGATTTATTAATTTTTATTTATTAATGTGGAACAATATACTTAAAAGCTCCCTTTAGTGGGGTTCAACAGACCTTTATATTTATTTAATCTTTCTTGGCCCCTGAATTGTTAGTTGAATGTAAACCAGTCAATTAACATCACGGAGCCACAGTTTCTTCAGCTTGTACAAAAACAATGTTGTGCAATCCCATTTGCTTCTCTGATTCTGCAATTCTAATCTGTGGTTGAAAACGATCTCTAAAAGATCTATTATTTCCATATCATTTGCCAAAAGAATCCTGGTATTTCTAATATCAAACACTTTTAAATAAGCAGTATTTTTATTAGGGAATTTTTTATGCCTGAGAGTTCAAATTTAGTTCACTTATAAAAATATAAATAATAAATGTTTGCACTTATATGACATTTAATCTGAGAAGTTCACACTATTCTTGATACTAATTAATTAAGAAATACAAATCACAGAGTACTTGTTTAAAAACAAGACAGTGTAACAGAAGAGGAGATTCTAGGATTGATGAATTAGATTATATTTTACTTCTCCATTGAAAAGCCATTGCCTTTTTTTAAAATTAAAAGATACTTTTACTGTGGCTTTTACAGTTCTTATAACAATCCATACATCAATTGTATCAAGCATATTTGTAAATATGTTGCCATCATTATTTTCTAAACATTTACTTTCTATTTGAGCCCTTGGCATCACCTCCTCTTTTTTTCTCCCTCCACGTCCATCCTCATAACCCCTTGATAAATTATAAATAACTATTATTTTCATATCTTACACTGACCGCTGCCTCCCTTCCCCTATGGTCCTCCCTTCCCCCATGGTTTCTGCTGTTCATCCCACTTGGTGTGTGTGGGGGGCATGGTTATGTGTTGGTCAAGATCATTTTAATCAGTTCCCCCTTCCTCCCTTCCTCTCTACGCCTTCCCCCTACCCTCCTGGTATCACTACAGTACTCCCATTCCTATTCCTGGATTCCATGTGTCCTGATCTCTTATCACTTTTGATTCTCGGCCTTTCGGCTAAGATCAAGTGTAGAATCTGTTCTTATCAGTCATTGACTTCTTAAATATGTTTTTATTATCATTATCCATCTGCTATTCAATTTTAAAGAATTCTGAATTCAAAGAATCCCTCGAAAGGACTAGTCATAGACAAAACCTGCCCTAGGTGCCGTGGGCTGATTCAATGGGGACATATTTTTAGAAATAACATGTTTTTGTGATTACTGATAATAGTGAAGTTTGTAGAGTCCAAGAATATACAGTTACGGGACCCATATGATATTTTCAAATAATACATTATCTCCTTCTTCTTAAATTTTGATGCATTTATAATATGAATTACACACTCTCTGAAACATGCATGAAAATATATAAGTGAAAAAAATATATATATAAGTGGATATAGAGATTGAGATCAAGATCAAGATATGCGTAACAACCTAGTTGTTAGGCTAGGTTGTCTAGAGAAGCAAAGTCAGTGCACTCATATATGTATAAAAGAAGTAATTTTATATCAAGACATAAACTTTTATGAAAAAGGCATCTCAGCCCAGTCCAACTCAAGTCCATGGGATTGAAGGTAGCTGGAGCCCTCTAGGTGGAAGTAGATGTAGGCCAATAATTCACAAGGTGAGGCAGGAAGCTTGGAGAGGCCAGTGAATGCAAAGTCATGTGAATTCCAGGTCAGTGGGAACATAACAGGGCAACAACAGCTCTCTGGGTCAGCAACTCACATGGGACCCATCCCTAGAGGCAACCATAGAATCCCATCAAGCAGGGAATGTGAAGGGCAAGAGCCAGAGAAGTTCTCCTGGCTCTCTTATTAAAAGATCCATCTTCTTCTTCAGCAAGTGCTTCAAGTCTTTCTCAATTTCAGTAAGCAAGGATTTGTCAACTCAGGCTGTTAATAAGCCTTCCTCCAATCAGGATGCCACATTATTCTTCATAAAATCCTATTTCTCTGATTATTTTCTCAGCATACAGATGAGCAGCTCAGTATCACCAGCTACAACCAGGACAGGGGCTCACTATATCCTGTTGATGAACTAGACCATCAATTGCTCATAAGTAAGTTCAGATTGAAAATGAAGAAAATTAAAACAAGTCCCAGAAGGCCAAAACATAACCTCAACTCTATCCCACATTCATTTGAGAATAAACCAAAGACAGATATGAATGACAGAACAAAGGTGACATAGCCATCTAGATATGTGCATATATAACATGCTGTCTGTATTTCCTAGTGATGACTTCTTTGAAGAGACATGTCACCATGGTAGATCACCAAACAGAAACTATGAATGCTACTTTCTATGTTTATCATTGGACAACACTCTGAAGAGTTGTAGATGGTTATAATGACAGTGACAATGAGCTGGGTTTTTTATTAAACCAAGATTTTTAAACTAGCTAATTCACATATCTACCAATATGCATAAAGCAACCTAACCTGTCTAATGTACTTCTTTACAAAGTATTCATTTTTCACTTCGTGTTATATTTAATATTTTTCAACATCAGCTCTTATGTCTTTCTTTTTTGTCGAGCTTTCACATGAATATGAGGTGACTAAAAATAGCATAATCTGTGCCTAGAACACCTTAGTCCTCAAGGTGATATCTTTACTTGCTAGAACCATAACGATGTCTCTTGCAACACATTTTCTCACTACAGTGAATTATATGATTTGTTGATGGCTACTTCCATGGACATTCACTGGGGTCCACATAAAATGAAATCTTTAAGAATTTCAATCTTTTTTCCCCCCTTTATAATGATGTTGCTTATTGATCTAGCGGTAAAAAATATGTTCTGTATATGAATGTTGCAGTCTTTGTTTTTCATCAAGTAAATGCCTTCAGTCATTTCCCTTTTACTCGGCAGGGTTCTGCAACCTGAACATCAGAGATAATTTATGAACCATTGACCAATCCTAATTCTTCATTCTTTTTGCATAATCCATTTTCTTATATTATTTGAAAAATGTACAGATTAAATAAGTTCGAGGGAAAGTGTACAACCCTGGTACACATCACATCTTTCCTGATATTAAAATACACAACGTCTCCATGCTCTCTTCAGACATGTGTCTCCTGGTCTATGTACAGGCTCCACGAAAGCACAATAAAGGGCTCTAGAATTCTTGTTTTTTTACAAAATGACCCAGACAAAGGTTGTTAAGATCCACACAATGGAATACTTTAGAATAGTCAATACAACATAGATAAGTATGTTATGGTAAGCATCTGCTTTCAGACAAGAGTCATCTGACATCAGTAATGATACCCCACATTCCATAATCTCTTCTGAATACAGTTTGAATTCCAGGCAGTTCCCTGTTAATGTACTGTGTAATCATTTAAAAATTGTATTCAGCAAAATTTTGGTTGTGTAGGATATTAATAATATTGTAAAGTAATTTTCACATTCTAGTATCCCACCTTTCTTTGTGATTGGCACTTACATTGGCCTCTCCCAGTCAATTAATGAGGTTAGTGTCTTCCAACTTTCTTAGCACAGGCAACTGAGCACTTTCAAAGAGTCATTCATTTGGTGAATCATTTACATTGTGCTTCTGGTGAATCCTGGCATTGCTTTTTAGCAAATGTCATCAGTGTTAGTTGGAAAAGCTTCCTTCAATATCACCACTTCTTGTACAATTCTTGTGCCTCCTAAAGTG